CCCCAAAACCCCAAAACCCCATTGATGCAAATCACATTAGAATTAAGAAAAATTCAATAATTTTCAGATAAAAGATTCAAAATATTTATATTAGATAATTTTATATTCAAGCAAAAGCATTTTAAGTTTAAATTGCGTATGAGCTTTGCTTCAACTGCGTCATAATAGCATAAATTAATCTAATTTATAATCTAATCCTTCGAAAGATTTCTGATTCAATTTTGTAATTCTATCTATACTAACTTCTTTAATAGGAAACATCTTTTTTGACTTCCCAACTTTTTAGATCTGGATGCCATATATATTCCAACAAATTAACTTGGAATATTGAAAAAGTTAAAGTAATATTATTAATTATAAAATGAAACTTTATAAAAATATAGCAACCATTATAGACAATCTAGTAAAGCAATTCATCTCACTTCTAAAGTTGAATTGATTTAATTTTGTGCAAACTTTACTTTTAATAACTAGTTAGATTTTGTAGGATATAAATAATTTATAATCTTTTATAGCATTTTATAAGTAAGGAGTTCACTTTGCTTTTAGCCAAAGTAGTTACCACTTATTATTGGAAATATCGATTCTGATAACGTGGTTATAACAACCTTCAACTATGAACCCTCTAATTCTTTTATTGCCATTGGAGGTAGTTATAATGGTTAGCCATTACTAGGTCTTTATTCTCTCTCTACGAATTACCAAAGACTAGTAAGATTACACACATATAATTTGGAGAATTATCAAGAATCCCTTTCTAATATTTTAGAATCAGTAGACGATATAAAAATAAAGGACAATTAAATTCGTAAGTTCTTCTCAATTAACCCTAAATTTATTAGTATCTGCAATAAGATCAAGAGTAACAACCTTAGATAGGAGAGGTTTCTATGTATTGCTTTTATAAAGCATAGATTCAAGTTAGATCAAAGCAATAAAAATTGATGCAATTGTACCATGGATAATAAAAAAATCTACCATTGAATTAACAATAATTAATAAGATTCTATTTACCTATTAGGATTATTCCTCGAATGGAATTTTCTGTTACTTTAAAGTTAATCTTGATAGCCTTGATCATGCAACTTCCTTTCCTTACTAAAATTTTACATTTTCAATAGTTGATTAGAGACCAGCCTCAACTGCCTATATTGCAGGAACTTATCAAGACAGCAATACAAACAAATATATATTTTATGGAGAATATGACTTAGTTACTTACAATCCAAATGCTAAATCTTAAATTTTAAATTCAGCACTAAAAGAAATTCAGCTTGGTCCTGTCTACCGAGAAGGTGACGGCATAGTAGGATGTATATCAAGCAATTAAAAATAGTCTGGCAGCGTAATTATTGGATTTTTGACAAGTTTGTAATCATCTTTCGCCTTCTACTACAAGGATTTATCCTATCTGAATAAATATCAATATGTTGAATGTGTAGGAGCTCATTCTTAAGCAAACTAAGATTATGAGGTGTATCTATTTGGATAAACAATAGATGATAAAAATGCATTGATAATTATATCCTTAGAAAATAATGAGAGGAGAGACATATAAAAGAGTGAAATATAGGATTTAAAAATATCTTATGAAATCATTGATACAAACTATAAACTAGATCTCATTTAACTATAAACAGTTTAATCTGGAGTAAATTATTTAATGGTAGGATCAATATATAACTAAAATGGCACTAAAAAATCTGGTATTATTCTCACAAAGAATGCCGACTACAGTTATCAAGTATCTTGTATTTAAGACAGTATTTTAGCAAGGATCTTCTTCTCAATAAATTAACTTTAATTCAGACACTATCATAAGCTCAGATGTTCAAATTATAAAAGTCTAGAACAAACTAGACTAGCAATATTCATTTCCTGATATAGATACTTAAGATTTAATAATAGGGAATATCCCAGTGAGTTTTAAGAATAGCACTATTCAATTAGAATGCATTTTGTCATAAACCACTTGTAGTCTATTGCTAGGAAATTATAATGTTACTGCATGCTCTGATAGAATTTTCCCCATTAAGTTCAAAATAAGATATTCAGATATCTCCTAAGCAAATCAAATTGATTTGAACTACTTCAATAATAATTCATGGTTAATGGCTTCTTCAATGTCATATTATGACATTTAGCTAGAGATTCTAAATTTAGCAAGCCAGAATGTTGGGTATCATTCTATTATAATTGAATCTTACTACGAATAACTAACTTTTAAATGGTACTTCGATGAAATGACTGTTAAATTTATGGTTATAACTGAATGTGATTCCTCAATCTAAATTGGCTTTGACTAACTCTTTAAAGACTTATAGTATTAAATCGGATCAGGAGAAAAACTTTATCTATTAAAGTAACTAGAATACACGGTTGGAAAGGATGATTGTAAATAGTATTACATTGATTATTCACTTGTCAGAAAATATACAATGAACTCTTAAAATTTTATTAACTTTGATAACACTACTAAAATAGTTTCGATCAATACTGATGACAATACTTTAGAAGGATATTATAACTTTTCAATTAATTATAATTTTCAAGGTTTGGGGGAAATAAAAGCAAATGAGTTTCATTTCAAAGTATTTTTATATAATCCTGCTCCCTGATACAAAATATAAAATACTGCACCTTCATTTATTGGATGGATTCCTGATTAAGAGGTAATGTGCAATAGTTTTATTTACATTAAATTGCCATTAATTTATGACTTAGAAAATGATACAGTATCAATCAAGCTAATTAATGATAGAAATTCTATTCTTTTCTCGAACCTCTATTCTAATGGTCTTATTTTTAATCCTTAGAGTGGTTTTTAAGGTTAATATAAAATGCAAATACAACTATCCGATGACAATGCAGATAAAAAATCAAGATACTATAAATTTAATGTAAATGTGATAGAATAAAAGGTTACTACTCAAAATCAAACATTTAAAATTGGCTAGTCTAATATATATCTGATAACAGAGGTAATAAATGAAGAAAAATTAGAATTCATGAAATTAATAAACAAATTTACTTTCTCAGGCTAACTTACTGCTAGATTGTAAAGCATCTCATAAATTGGCTTGGCCACCATAAAATTTAACAGAGAGTTATTTATTCCTACGAACTTCACCAATTTATTCAATAATACTTATTAATTCTACTACTAAAGTTATGATAAAGTAATAAAGATAAGAAGTACAATAGTTGATGCAGATTCTTACTTTCTCAAAGTGCAATTAAATTATGATGATTTACTCGTAGTTTCCTAGTATGAGGTAATTATTTTTTCAAAGTTTATTAAATCTAATTCTTTCAATATGGCATTATATTGAAATTTTAATCTTTTAGAGATGGTCTAAGATAAATATAATCTTTTATCAAAATAACTTTTACCTGGATCGCTAATTAAAATTAAAACTGCCGCAATATTTTATAGCATCAATTACAATACCAGCTTTTTTACCAAAGAGTAATATATTATATAACTAAAGCATTTATGTTAGATGAGCTTCAAATGATTTCTGTATTTGGAAAAGCAACAGATATTGCTTTTAAGACGATAATTGGGTAAAATGTATTTATCAATATAATTCTGTAAGTATTAAAGAAGACTTATTATTTTTAGGTCCTAGGGAATGCAATACCTCTGGGGTCTGATAAAATCTTTTTAATTTGTGACACATTACCCACTAATGTCGATATATTCACCTACGAACATCTAAATATTCTTTGGCATAATAATAGAAATCTCTAGCTTCTAATTTATAAACACTGATGACCTAAATAGAATGCTATTCAGAGATCCATACGGTGGAGACGATCAAGGTTATAACAAATTTTTTGAAAACATGGGTTACAATTCTCTAAACTTAGTCAACAATTTAGGCATTATTTTTTACTTCTTCCTGTTTAACCTCTTAGTAACAATGATGGCATTAAAAATCACACTATTTAATTGCAAAAACAGCGCGTAAGATATTCTTAAATTTGAAAGTTTTTTACAGTGCATAGAGAATTATAAATATTTTTACAGAAATGGTTCTATTTGGGTTTTTATCCAGATTCATGATTGAATCATTAATAGAACTTACAATATGTTCAACAATAAATTTATTCAACGAGGTAAAACTTAAACTTTCTTTAAACTAAATAGTACAGTTTAACTACGTAAATAGATATAATTGGAATTATTCTTAGTGCGGTGCTTTTTTTAATAGGTAAAATATATCTTTATAAACTTTTAAAATACAGCTATAAATTTTCCAATTCTGATATCTTTTCAAATGAAATATATTGTCCAAAATTAGCATAATAAGAGGAAGATTTAGAGATTTATGGTGCCATTTGAAGATTTAAAAGTTGATTAGTACTATTTTAGCTGGGTATTATAGCTAAGGAAAATCCTATTTTCATTAATACTAGTTTTATTTGATCAGAGTCAAGGTATATAGATTACATTGATTTTAGGGCTAAATTATTTTGTCTTGATTTCAATTATATAATCCAAGCCATATAAAACAAAAGAAATGTTTAGAATGGAACTTTTCAACGAATATCTTGTTCAGGTTATTTGCTTAACATTTATACCATTCTGCGATACCTATTCAGATATTAGTAATGAGTTGATTAGTTATATAGGATTTTTATCAATAATACTGGTTCTTTTACTCTTGCTCGTTAATTTCCTTGTGATTCTTTAAGTCTAAGTAGGCTATCTATATTAACTAATAAAAAAACATTGCCTAAAAAAGAAAAGGTATGAAATAAAAGAGTTATTTACAAATACAAATTAGAACTTAATTGATAAAACTTTGAGTTTTGATGTAATAATAGAGGATTTTGAAGTTAACAAGAAAGATAGAATTAACACTAGTCACAAATTAAAAAAATTTACGAAAGGAAATATACATATTTAGAAAATGAAAAAAGGAAAATAGAGTCGAAGAAGGAAAGGAACCTCTTTGATGAAACCAAATTTAAATAAAAATATTGGAAGAGAAAGAATCAATTCATAAGATATATTACCAAGTATGCGAAGTACCATCTTCTAACAAAGCTAGGAAAATGATATCTAGGAAATAATTTAATTCGATAGTAATCAATTTCAAGATTAAAAAACAAATAATGCAAAAAGGAAAAGCAAATTATATCCATAGAGAAAATCTAAGCTAATAAAAGATGCTAAAATAATCAAATAAATATGAAATTATCATTTTATGGAGGCGTTTCAAATAAGGAAATGATTGATAATAAAATATCTATTACTGAAAAGCTTTATTTTGTAATTTGATATATTTCTTTAGATTTAGATCCACGGGGTTTTGGGGTTTTGGGG